TGTTACAATTATATCTGAAAAATAAAAACAAATTTGCCCATATGATTGGAGAGGATGTCTTCATTGATCCTTCACTTGATTACACATAAGATAGATATTATGGAAATTATAGATTCTGTAAAAGTTGGGTAATGTAAGTGTATTGCCTAATGTGAAAACTGTGTAATCTGTCTTTTACAGTACTGTAGCATACTAATTTCAGCACTAAGGCCGATTTGAAACACGTATCTTGTATTGTTTGCTATTAAATGAACTGATTGTTAAAAGTACTAAACTGAAAGAAGATCATACTGTTGTGTTTCGGTGATTAAACCAAATGTTGTCATTACATATTACAATAATCTTGTGTTTGAAACAGTGATTATGTGGACTGAAAATATGTGCAACTGAATAAAAGCATTACATCAGGTTTTGAAAGAATGACAAGCTGTGTTACAAGTGTGATCAGTTTGGATTTTTGTACTAAGAGTTTTGAAAAAGTACACCTTACTTGTGAAATTAGTACCAAAGCGATCAACAAAAACTGTATTATAAATCTTTTTTTTTCTGATGTCTTTGCATATGCATGTGAAAGATTTTATTGTTGCTTGTTTCTTGTTGGTTTCATGTCATTCTAATGTAATCATCAATTATGTGAGATATGAGTCCTATATGGTACACTACAGAGTCCCATATTTGTTATATTTAGTACTATTGTTACACTTTATTCCTTGTTTTGCTCAGAACTAGAAATTGTATAAATTAATTAAATAAATAATAAACTATTACTTCAATCAAAACATAAGTATTGGCCAGTGCAGTTAAAACCAGAGCTTGATGTCTGATCCTCTGCTGCACCCTAGTGGTGTGACAACATAAAAATATATAAATAGAAATAGAATAATGCATTATGTATTCCCTGTAGCTCAACTAATTCCATGTTTGTTTGTTTTTTCGCATAAATATCGTCTACAAATGCAAAAATGTAAATGTAAACCAACATTTAGACCTATAAAGATCTATAAACTCGACCTATAAAGATTAAAATAATATTAAAAACACACTATATCAGTGTGCATATAACCTCAGGAGAACCTGACAGTGTTAGTATTTGATTGAAGAGTTGAGGACGCTTCAGTTTAATTAATTTTTAACTTTAATATGTCCTACTATTAATACTCCATATAACTGTGTGTAACTAGTCACAAAACGTTACTTTTTCGCTTTGTTTGCTTTTATATTTCTATTAAAATACGTTTTGTCATCTCAAGATGCTACAGTAAGTGTAAATATTTAATACTGTACGTGCGTCAGTTACTGTTTGTGCGTCAGTTTGAACTTTAAAGCGCGCATGCGTCCCTCACACAGGGTTGCCAGGTTTTCGCAACAAAACCCGCCCTACTGCTACTCAAAACTAGCCCAAAACTAGCCCAATCACGTTTTGAGAGAGGTCCCCCGGTAAAAATCGCGTTCGGGGGGTTAAAATACACGTTTTTTTGGTACAATTCACATTCCAGCGGCTGAATATCACTTTGTCACTTCAACCTGACATGAAAAAACAACAGTCTTAAAGGGATAGTTCACTCAAAAATGAAAATTCTGTCATTAATTATGCACCTTCATGTATTTCCAAACCCGTAAGACCTTCGTTCTTCGGAACACAAATTAAGATATTTTTGATGAAATCCGAGAGCTCTCTGACCCTCCATAGACAGCAATGCAACTGAAATGTTCCCAGCCCAGAAACGTAGTAAGGACATCGGTAAAATAGTCCATGCGACGTGGTTCAACCGTAATTTTACGAAGTTAGGAGAATACATTTTGTGTGCAAATAAAATAAAAATAACATCTTCATTCAATGATTTCTTCTCTCCTGGGACAGTTAAGATGTTAAAGACAATATTTTTGTTTTCTTTGCACACAAAAAATATTGTCATTGCTTCGTAAAATTACGGTTGAAATTACACTGATAGACTATTTTAACAAAGTCCACTATGTTTCTGGGTCTGGGAACATTTCAGTTGCTTAACTAAATTCGAATTTTGTACTTAAATATGATCATATTCGAATTATATTCGAATTTAAACGGCATTATTTCAGTTGGGGGAAAAGCTTTTGGCTTCTCTCTTGAGGCCACATGAGCAAGATATTATTAATGCACGTTTATTCAAAGTAATAACATAACAAGGCCATCTTTGAACAAAGTGCATAATATTTAAAATAATGTTTATAAACCAAATATAAATAGCACTTGCGTATCATTGCTCTCTTGTTGATTTTGATTGCTTCTATTGTCCTCATTTGTAAGTCGCTTTGGATAAAAGCGTCTGCTAAATGACTAAATGTAATGTAAATGTACATATAAATAATTTAGTTGCTTAAACAATTAGAAACAAAACAGCATCACGCATGTATGTATAGTTTAATACAAAGGACCGAAAACGTGTTTTTTCGTTTAAAAACATGAGATGAAGTGGAATGGGGAAAAACCGCCATAAAGTCTGGGGACATGATATTTTTTAAAGTTGAACTTAGTCTTACATTAATTTGACACGGCTTTCTAAACATGCGGCTCTATTGTGCGAGACACGAGTGCAACGGTGATAGATGTCCCTATAGAAAATGCAATAAATATGCCTTCTGTGTGAATGGCTTGGTTTCAGTTTTGCCGTAGATCTTCTCCGCATTGATGTTCTCTTTTTCTGCAATATTTTGAATGAGCATCGCCGCTTTTTGTGGGTTCAACTGGATAGGCTAACAAAAGCATCGTCATCGCATCTAAGGCTGCCTGATGCACACCTGAAATTCAAATGCAACGTTTTTGCCTTCAAATGTGGATTTTTATTTTGAATTCGACAAATATTCGAAATGCGAATTTTTATTTGACAGCCCTGTTGTCAATGCAGGGTCAGAGATCTCTCTGATTTCATCAAAAATATCTGCTGGAGCAATATCCGGTTTGGAGCAAACGACATGAGGGTGAGTAATTAATAACAGAATTTTCATTTTTGGGTGAACTATCCCTTTAAAGTAGCCCAATTCCGCGGGAAAACCGCGGACTTGGCAACTCTGTCTCACGTGCCGCAGCCGTTTGAAATTTGATTTAAAATGGGCGCGCGGAATTTCGATCTCGTTTTAACGCCACGCGTCTCTTGGTGTAAAAACTGTGTAAACTGTGATCTACTAGAGTATTGAAGTATTTGTCATCGTTATAACCTCAGGAGGAAACGTGAGGATAATGTCCTGTCATCTCAGGTACAGCACACAAACACCTCAGTAAATCAAAATTTTGTGAAAGTATTTTTTTTCACTGTAAAATTAATTAACCTCCAAATTATGTTTTTTCCACCTCAGAATGAACACATATATTGTCATGAATTCTCACATACATAATTGAACATGTACATGACACTCTATTTTTCGATACATTTAGCTTGTTTGAACTTTCTGTGGACTATAAACCGTTTTATAATGAGGTAGTCATCTTTTAACCCGCACTCAAACGTTTCTGCGTTTCATTTCCATTCAGATGGTTTCAGGTTTTACTAACCTTGTGGGATATTTAGTCGTTTATATAATTATTTAATAGATAAATCGATAGATGTTCTCTGTTTAGGTTAAGCACGTATTGAATTAACCCTCAAGCATCCTTTGGGACAAATCTGGGCAAAATCTTTATTTATTTATTTATTATTATTATTTAATAGTTTACTTAATATGAGCGGTAGACTTAAGTGGTTGGGGGAAAAAAACTCCTTAATTTGTCCTTCATGGACAAAAATGGGCACCCATAGGAAATGAATGGGAAATACTAAAATTCAGAGCTTTTTTTATTTTGTTATTATCCAATTAAAATCAATAAATCCAACACAATGCAGATCATACATACACATGAATGAAGGGGTGAGTCTATACAACATTCTCAATGTGACAAACACAAACGCACACACACACAAACCCATATACAAAGCATTGAATGAGCCTATAACACAGCAAGTTTTTAATTTTTAATTTTGTCGAATAAAAACAGTCACTCACACATACAAAACCTACACATACATTCAAAATTGAATGAGCCAACAACTGAGCTTTTTATTTGTGTCACTCTGCACACACACACACACACATACAGACAGACACTCACACACACGCACTCTCACACACACACACACTCTCACACACACACACTCTCACTCACACACACGCACACACACACACTCTCTCACACACACACGGATGCTTGAGGGTTAAAGGAGTATGTTGTCTTCTGTCCCCTTTAAGTCCATACTGCTGTCTTGCTGATATTCTGCAGCACTGCTGCTTTGCTTTATGACACACTTCTGATGGGGCGGGGCCACCTTGAAGCCAACCAATCACAGCCGCGGATACAAACGCTGCCGCCTCTAACTGGTCTGCGTGCCTGTCAATCACAGGCTGAGAGCGCTGTCCTCCAGAACGCACTTTATTCCGAGAAAGAGAGAGACGCGGATCCGTTATGCACCTCAGACGGGTGAGTTTAGCACTATTAACTTAATATAACACTCGATTATTAAAATCAAACACGTTAATTTAGGCTGAAATTATGTGTTAATGCGGATGAGATAGTGCTGGACGAACAGCAGCAAAAAAAGACGCAGAACTTAATGCTGTGTTTTATTATAGATATGAAAAGGTCATGCAAATGCAATTGATCGTAATCATATTTTAGCAACATTAAAGATGCATTGTTGAATGCAAAGTGATCGCGTGGCTGTGCGAAATGCAGTGAATGTTTAAAGCATCAATGATGCAGCAGTGCAAAAATAACTTTCTGCATAATAAATGATGCTCATTATAGTGCAGACTATTCACTGCCACTGTGCAATGCACCTCTCCTATAATGCACCCATATAAGATACTAATTTGTTTTGGTTTGATCACTGCTGAACTGTCATGTCATGTTTTAAAGGGACATTCACTGCAGCTTATGCATGAGCTCACATTATTTTAAAGTGACATTATAATGTGTGTGTGATGGTTGATTATTATGAGGCTCATAATGAAGGGTGCTTTACTCACTCGACTGCTTATTTAAATAATTATGCATACAGTTCAAAGGCTTTAGCAGTATAAAGCGTACTGAATGTCATTATCAAAAGACCCACTGTTAGTTGTGCATTCAAGGATATTTTGCCAAAGCAACTCCACAGTTTATTTTCTGGCCTGTAAACATGTCTTACAGTGAAATATTACAAGATAAGTTAATGAAATATTACAGGATAAGTCTGTTGATTATGACAATATTTGCTTATGATTGTACAAAGGTTACTTTTAAATATTACTTTTAATTTTATTCTCTGAAAAACAACAAATTTACTCAGAAATTGCTAGTAAATTTCACAAATACTTACAGAGAATCAGCAATTAACGCATATAATTAAACATAAAGTAGAAAGACTAAAATAGTATTTTCTTGTAAAATGTCATATTTGTATTTGCAACTTCAAAAAAAAAAATTACAACAAGTTTAGTGTATACATTTTTTTTTGTGCATGTTTGTGTTTTTAAAAATAATTCAATGTGCAAGCCAAATTGAATACTTGTTGATTACTTTAAAGCCTATTTTTAATTGCTATTAATCAAAATGATTATTTAAAGAAACTTTTGATTTTGTTGTGGATTTTAAAGCATTGTGTCTATGTAATAATTCATGTGTCAATAAGGTTTTTAGATAAAAATCTGGGTCCCACTTTAAATTAAGTGGCCTTAACTACTGTGTATTTCAATAATTTGATACAATGCACTTATCGTGTACATGCATGTTTTTACATTGTACTTATATTTTAAAAATACCTGCATGTAATTACATCTGTAATTAATTTAAATACCACAAAACCTGTCCCTAACCTTACCAGTATCCCACCTCACTAGCAGCAAAAGTGTTTTGCAATGCAATATGAACACAATAAGTACATTGTACTTATTTTTTGATGCAAGTACATAGTAGTTAAGGCCACTTAATATAAAGTGGGACCAAAATCGGTTGTATATCTACAATTCTACATGCATCTTTATGTCGCATTAAAAGCTTCCGTCATTTTGACAGGCCTTCGATAGGCCCGATGATGAACACCTGGCGTGTCAGTCCACCCGACTCGAGACGAGACAACTGCCAGCTTAATTTAGGAGTGTGACTAATTAAAACGGGCCCGTAATGGAAGGCACGCACACGGTGCTGCGTCTGTACAAACCCATCCAGGAGCTGTGCTTCATCAGTCTCTACTTCCCAACGAGGAAATCCCGAGGTTTCTCCCGAGCTGGCCAAACCCGGCCTCAGGATGAAGACGCTAAACAAAGAGGCCAGTATTACTGCGAGGCGACAAAAGAAGCGGTCGCGCAGCTCAACTGGCTCACCGCAGAACACCATCAGCTGCTGACGGACCTCCTGTCTTTATGCAGCGACTGCGCAGACAGGATTAAAATGGGAAAGCAGGATGGAAAGCTCCTGGAAGGATACGGGCAAGGTGATGTTAGTAGCGCTTTTTCTCTGTCCCCAGAGCATAAGAGAGCAGCTTCAAGAGTTCGTAAGCTGAAGAAGCTGGGTTCTAAGAAGATGCACAGTGCTGAAGAGTTCTCGCAAAGTAGGATAAAGAAGAAGGTGCAAAGTGGAGCATCTGAGTTTTCTCCGAAAGCATCCAGAACTCCAATCTCCTTCCGTGGCCGGGATGCTCCAGGGTCAGGCTCTTATGTACGCGTCTCCAGCGAGCCTTTTCTTCCAATGGAGGAACACTTCCAGATCGCCCACGATCACGGCTGGGATTTTATGGAAGAGCCTCATTCTTTTGAATCCGAAATGGATCCGTCGGAGTTTGATAGCCAGCTCACTTTGGAGTACGAGAAACCAGTGGGAAATGGGAATATTGAGGGAAACCAACGAGGTCAATCAACCTTTGGACGTTTGGAAACCAATCGAAGAGACGTGAGAAGGGACGATGTGGCTGCAAAACAAAACCATACGGCTTCCAAAGAGAAACTTGTATCTGGTTCCAGCTTGGATGTGGATCACCGCAACCAGCAAGCTGGACAAGAAGAGATCAAGCTCTTTGAGAAAACCATTGACGCCAACTCTAGAAGCTCTAAGCTTCATCCCTGGAGCAGAAGCCCTACATCAAGCTCTCTCTCTGGGCTCTTCAACGTGTCTTATCCTCCTGCCAACAGTCTCCAGAGCATGTCTCCTGTCTTATCACCTCTGTCTTCGCAACTTCCGAGCCCCCAAATGAACCACCGGATTGTGTTGCTGCCTGAGGAAGATGGAAATAAACGTTCCACGAGAGACGAGCCTAAAGTCGACACAGAGGTCATCGACAAAAACGGCAACCGTCGGACGGTCACACGGTTAGACCTGAACCTCAGCAATCATTTCTATCTGAATGGAGCTAGTACATCGAGTGCCACGACCTCAGGTGGGAAACTGCTCTTCTAGTTCAAACTAAAAGTTATGTAACAGTTCATACGAAGAGTTCAAATGCAAAAGTGCCATTTGAAATTTTCCTTTAAAATTATCATTTTTCTCAGGCTCCTATGTTTATGTTTAGGGATGCACGATATTATCGGACCGATATCGGCCGATAATGGCTTTAAATGTAAATATCGGCATCGTCCCGATATGAAAAAGTATGCCGATACGTCTTGCCGATAAGAGGAATACGTTAACTCACGTTTGCTCAGGGTGTGCTAGCGACAGTGTGGCTCATTCTTGAAGCAAAGATTTGCCTTGATGATTAGATTCACTGTTTCGCTGCATTTAATCTGTGAAAGCACGTACAGAATGACTTGTTAGGTGTGTGATAGAGTAAACCGTAATTGCGCTGTTGGCCTACTTCTAATAAAATGAAAGCAAAATACACAAATAACATTTAGACTGTGTTTCTGATTAAATAAAGCAGTAATTGATGTCATAAAATCATGAGTATGTTTTGATTTAAAGGTCAGAAGCTATAGCTTACATGAAAAAAAACGACACTTTAAATAATTTTATATATACTGATTTATTCATTAATGTGTAATATGTTATATTTTTTAAACAAATTATGAGCGCTAAAAGATTTTCAGAATGTTTACAACTCTTTTGCTTTAGACCATCTACAAATGTTAAATCTTAAAATAAAATGTTAAGGTTACAACTGCATCTTTCTGAAAAAAAAATTAAAATACAGAGATTGAATATAGTTTATTTATTTTCAAATCTTCATTGTACTTTCATTATAAAATAACTATTATTGTTTATTTAATTCTAACAAATAATTGTTGTTAAAAACTAACCAAAATTATAATTGTATTTATCATTTCTGCACAGGAGAGACTTGGTGTTGTTTCCAAACAAAAGGAAATATATCGGTATCGGTTATCGGCCAAAATGAGTTGAAAAATATCGGCATATCGGATATCGGCAAAAATCCAATATCGTGCATCCCTATTTATATTCAGTTATTTCACTTTAATGACAGTGAAAATAACCTATTTATTGACATTAAAGTTAAAATACTCAATCTACACTTAGGAGCCTGATATAACTTCTTATTTTAGAAGAAAATTTCTAACTGAACTCTTCATATATATTCTTAAAACATTAAGACAAAACAACAACATGATGTTATTTGTACTTGAAGGTTCTAAGAAACATTTTTTAGCATTAAAATAACATGATAACATATAATAGTTTTGGTAAAAATAAAACTTAGTAGAACATTTAAGAAATGTTTTCATCACCTTTAAATAATGTGTAGAAAACTGCACATTTTAACGTTCTTAGAATATTACAAATAAACATTCAAATAAATAACGTTATATTTTGGGTAAAAATTTAATTAGTAGAACATTAAAAATGTTTTAGTCACCTTTCACGTTCTAATCGCAAAAAAAAACTTTGAATATTACAAATAAACGTTCAAATAACGTTATATTTTGTGTAAAAATTTAATTTAGTAGAATGTTTAAGAAATATTTCCGTCACCTTTAAATAACGAAAATTTAAAAAAATTTTAATGTTCATAGAGATTTATAACTAGATTTATAACTTTATAACTATTTATAACTATAGAACTAAAAGTTCATATAATGTTATATTTTGGGTAAAAATAAAATTAGTAGAACATTAAATAAATGTTTTAGTCACCTTCAAATGATGTTCTAATCACAAAGAAGACTATACATTTTAGCGACTTTAGAATATTACAAATAAATATTCAAATAATGTTATATTTTTGGGTAAAATAAAATTTAGTAGAACATTTAGGAAACGTTTTTGTAACCTTTAAATAATGTTCTAATCACAACAAGAACATTTTAATGTTTTTATAATATTACAAATAAATGTTTAAATAGCGTTATATTTTGTGTGAAAATAAAGTTGTAAGAAACCATTTTTGTAACCATTAAATAACGTTCTAATCATGAAGAGAAAATATTAAAATTGCATAGAATATTAAAAAATAAACGTTATATTTTGTGTGAAAATAGTTGTAAGAAAAAAAAATTGTAACCGTTAAATAACGTTCTAATCACAAAAAGAAAATATTAAAATAGCATAGAATATTAAAAAATAAACGTTATATTTTGTGTGAAAATAGTTGTAAGAAAAAAAAATTGTAACCGTTAAATAACGTTCTAATCACAAAAAGAAAATATTAAAATAGCATAGAATATTAAAAAATAAACGT